AAACTCTTAAAGAGAGCAAGGAAAGCCAGGAAAAAACAATCAAACAGGTGAAGGAAACAATTCAAGCACTTCAAGACTTGGAAACAGAAAGAGATACCAAGACAGAATCCATTCTACTTCTGCATACAAGAAACACACCTCAACTTCAAAGACAGATATTACCTCAAAGTAAAGGGTTGGGAAAAGATTTTCCAATCAAATGGACCTAAGAAACAAGCTGGTGTAGCTATCCTAATATGTAACAAAGTAGACTAGTATCTAACCAATTAGACTTCAAACTAAAATCAATCAAAAGAAATGAAGAAGGTCATTTCATAGTCATCACAGGAAAAATCCATCAAGATAAAGTCTCAATTCTGAACATTTATTTCTCAAATACAAGGGCACACTCATTTGTAAAAGAAACATTGCTAAAGTTTAAATCTCACATCAAGCCTCCCACATTAATAGTGGGAGACTTCAACTCCCCACTCTCACCACTGGACAGGATACCAGACAGAAACTTAACAGAGAATTAAATTATTACTAAAATTTTGGCTGCTTATTATTTTGATATCATTTCTAATCTTACATTGGAAGTGGAAGACTTGAGGCACATGAAAATAGAATATACCAGTCACATGCTTAAAATGAGACTTTACTAATGACCAAGCCATTGATAGATTCAATAGGCTGGGTGGAATGGTGCACACCTGAAGTTACAGCACTCGGGAGGAAATTTTAAAGAAAATCTGGGCTACATAGAGAGTTCCAAGTCAGCCAGAACTATAGCAAGAGTCTGTCTTTAAGAAAAAAAAAGTGTTAATTCACAAACCTTCAATCTACAATGGTGACCTCTCTGAATGATATGCTGATGCAATAGTGGCATAAAAGTTGTGGGAGTAACCAACCATTACCTGGTTGGATTTTAGTCTACTCCATGAAGTGGAACCCATGCCTGACACTTGTCAGTTAGCTAAGAATCTGAGACTAAATAGGCTATGGATGTAGGGGGAAAACCAAGTACTATTGCTCTGCTAAAGGAACACAACAATAAAATGACTCCTAATGACATTCTGCTGTACTTATAGATCAGTGTCTTGTTCAGCCATCATAAGATAAGCTTCTTCTTGCAGTAGATAGGAACTAATACAGAGACTCAAAACTGTACAATGTGCAGAAAGAGAGATTTTGGAACATTCAGTTCTAAATGCAATGCCTTCATTAAATCCCTCGTTGAAGAAATCAGGGAGTCATGCATTAGAAGAGACAGAAGGATTTTAAGAGCCAGCAGGGATGGAAGACACAAGGAAACAGTGCCTTCCAAACAGGAATAGCAGTACTGACATTCATATGAACTCACAGAGACTGTGGCAGCATGCATAGGGCCTGCACAGGTTCAAGCCAGATGAGGTGCTGAGAGGGAAATTGGACACTAACCCCCATCTCTGATGAGAAGATATCTCCAATTGAAACCACTTGCAAAGGAAAAAATCTAGTTTTCTCCAATGTAGTCTCACTGGGTATATAAACAACACTTAAGGTAGGCCCCATGGCCAGCAGCAGATGGCCAACACAAAATAAACTCAATGGTTTTTTTTTTTTGGAGATCTTTTGACTCACAATGCTTTGAGAATTTTTTATCTTATAGGTCTTTTGCTTATATATTATGGTTTCTGGTTTTGTGTTTTATGAAGGGTGTGTGTGTTTCTTGAGATTTTTCTTTTGTTTGTTTTATCCTGATTTGGTTGTTTTTTTTTATTTCCTATTTCTTTCTAAAGAGAAAGAAGGCATGGAGTTGGAGGAGAGCAAGGTGGGAGAGTCTGGGAGATGATGGAGGGGAAACCATTATCAGAATGAATTGTATGGGAAAATTATTTTCAATAAAAATCCAAATGTTATATTAAAATATAAAAAATAAAAATGTTAATGCTATATTATTACTGCTATTTCATTAGCACAGTTATTACTAGTCTGCCATAGCAGAACTTAGAATCCAAATATCACTGAAATAAGAGTATGTGCCAGGCACATACACGGGCCGTATCCTGTGGTGGTATCTTGCTTGTACAAATAAAGCCTGTCTGGGGGTCAGAGAATGGAGCTTGCCACTAACTATAGAGTTCTGGAGATCTTTACAGATAGACAGGAAGTGATGTAACTGCAGAAACAGGATATAAGCAGGGAGAAACAGGAAATGACTCTCTTGCCTGCTGAGAAGCTAAGGAGGTATGATGTGCTGTGGCTTGCTCATTCTCTCCGATCTCTCAGCATTTTTCTCTGTATCTGACTCCAGCTTTTTATTATCTAGACCAATTAAGAACTCCATTTACAGTATCCAACTTCATTATTTCCTTCAGACATTACAAAGCAGAGTAACAGACAATAAACAGTCTATAGAGACCTTGCCACAAGAGGGCTGGCACAGTTAATTTCGTGTTTAATAGTAAAACAGGAATCTGATTGTTTCTTCGATGGTGCATTTAGGTAAGACCAACATTTTAATTGGTAGAATAAAGCAGGTTGCACTGTGCAATGTGTTTGAGCCTTGTCCAATAAGTGTGAGGTTCAACAAGAAGAAAATAGAGAAAGACCTTGCAATAGGAAGAGGAAATTCTCCAGTAGATTGCCTTTGGACTTTATGTTATACCCTTTCTCCCTGCTGACTGGTTCATACTGTAGACTTGTACTTATCAGTCTCAACAATCACATGAACCAGTTCCTTATAATAAATTTCTTTGGCTAAATGATAGACAAATAGTAGCTGATCGGTAGATATACAGATGATAGATAATTATTGGTGGATAGATAATAAATGATAGGTGATAGAGAGATGATGCATGCATTTCATTAGTTGTTCTCTGGAGAACCCTAAATAAAATATGAATTGATTTCAAGATACAGATTTCAAGTAGAAAGAAGGAATATTCAAAATAGCACAGAACTTTACAACACTGACAGACATTTTACACGAATGTGGTCTTTCCCCCCCATGAATCATGTTCCTAAAATAACATGCTTCTAAAAATCATGGGCAGATGATTCGACCTGCTTTATTTTTGTCTTGAAGAAAAGATCAAAAGAAACAGGTTTTGCATTGCCATAACCAACTTCTTTCTGTGGTTATCTTTGGAAATGTAGACTACTCTTGTACTCACTTAAGGGATAAAATTAATTACTTTATATATTAAAGCAAATTAGCAGGCCCCATGCTAGACACTGCACCTAGGCCCTGACTTCTTTAAGGAACTTTGTTGGGAACCAGACAAGTTGAAACCATTGCCTGATGTATTTGAGGCACACCCCATGTTTAAAAGGTACAAAGCACTGATGTCTAAACCTACAGAAGAATAAGGAAGAGGAGGATTGCCCATAAGGCGGGTGCATATTGGGTCAGCACAAAAGGAATCTATCCTCCTCTTTCTCCTTGCTGCTTTTTCTTCTTCTCTTCAGAATCAATAATAATTTTACCTTAATCCCCACAAGAAACTCATGTGTTGCTAGGCAATTTCATGTTTCTCTTCCCTTGCCTTTGCAGGATCCTGGAAGGGTTGTCAAGTGACAGCATGAATGGCCCAAATGCAGTTGTACCCTTTGCTCTTAGGGACTCCAGATTACTAATGTATCTTTAATTCCATTAGCAAACTTGCAGACAAAACATAATTTACATCTCCATTGGATTTCTACATTCAATTGTGGAACATGAAGTTGTAGCAAACTCTCCTACTTTCCTCTTCACTGGATTAGTTTTCCTTGTGAGCCATCCCTGGGAAGCTACATTTAAAACTTGTTCTTCATTGACACTAATGAAATTAGTTGACATTGTACAGCCCCTTTATGTCTATTTGATCAGTCAAAAACAAATTTAATTACTTCAGTGCCTACAAGAACTTAGTGTTCATACTTGAACTCCAAGGGCAAATTCTAATTTTCATGAAAGGCCTTCTGACCTAAGTTCTTTTACTTTCCACCACAGAATCTGGATGACAATATTAGGAAAGCAGATATTTTGAGCCAAGATAAATATTCAACTAACTGGCCAGGACTATACTGACAACAGTATAACCCAGTTATATTGTAATATAGTGTATAACAACAGTATAGTGCAGTGTTTTACTGTTAGGAAGGTTTAACAGCTTGAATGTTGGAGAGGTGGCATGTGACCAAGTTCTGATTGTTTTATGTGGAGGTCAGTAGCCAAGCGGGATCAGATTTGAAGAGACAGAGTGAACTTCAACAGTTCTTAGTTGGGGTCATTTTAAGACTACATTGTAAACAGATGTATTTTGAAGAAAGACATACTACATTGAGACCTTGGAAAGGAGGCCAGCCAGGAGACAGCGAGGCTCCACAAGCTTGCTGAAGTTCTGAGCTGGAGTCCAGTCTCATAGAGATTCTCACTGAGGTGTGAGCAGGCAGCCAGGGCAGGCTGCAAACCTGGTCAGCTTCAGTGGTACTCAATAGAACAGTGGCTCCTTAGTGTTTACCTGGGTATTTCATCAGACAGTGTTAGAGGAGCAGATACTCCTCACTCCCAGAGGAGAAGCAGGAAGCTCTAGCTGTCAAAGGGCGAAGCTTCCAGCCAGTTGTGACATAATTCACAGCCAGAGGTCATGGCTGATACTCAAGAACCAGAGACTAAGGAGGGAGGCACAGTGAATAACCACCTATGGGAGAAGCTGTGAATATATTCTATACTCGCATGCAGAGGTTCCCCTGATTTCTTGTTCAGAATTCAGTTAGATGGTTCCAACCATCTTTAAGAAAGGCTGAGGATTATTACTCAGATAAAAATAAAAGTTCTGGGGTTGGAGAGATGGACCACTGATGAAGGGTAAACTCTCAAAGTAGTTTTGATTTGTGTTTCCCTGATGGCTAAGAATGTTGAACATTTCTCTAAGTGCTTCTCAGTCATTTGCGTTTCCTCTTTTCAAAACACTGTTTATATCTGCACCAGATTTTTGATTTGAGTTATTTGTTTTCTTGATATCCAGGTTTTTAAAATTCTTTATAAATTTTATAAAAATATGAAATGGTTCATAAATTTGCATGTCATTTTTACACTGGGGCCACGCTAATCATCTCCATATCCTTCCAATTTTAGTATGTGTGCTGCCAAAGCGAGTGCTGATTTCTTTGTAGTTTGAATACAAGTTATTCTAAGAATGAGATCTCATTCAGGGTCAGCTAACCCTTTCTATTAGAATCCCCATATTCCCTGTAAAAACACTCTTAAAAACTCTGCTAGACATGGTAGTGTATGTTTCTAATTCCAGTACTTGGGGAGACCAAAGGTCATACTCTGCAAAAACAAACATCTTCATGCCATAATCAGAGCACAAGGGACTCATAATAGTGAAAATGAGGCAGTTGTTTTAGAGGTGTGCAAAGAACAAGCTTTGCAGTTCCGTACACACGCCCTTTCTCCACTTCCTCATTGGCTAACAAATCAGGAGGGTTCAGCCTCTCATGCCATCTGGGGCTTATCTCTCTGCCAGCTTAGATTTATCTCTTTCTCAAAAACAAGCAAAAACCTGTGAGTAGTTTCATCTCTACACCTTCTACATTGTTTTAAATCTTACCAGACACTTAACCTCCTTGTTAGAGTCAGCTGTTGTCACCAAGTCTGTGGGTCTGGCTGTATTCCCCACCCACACACTGAGTATCAGCTTTGGAATTTCCTATAGGAGCTAGAACACCTGATTCTCAGTTTCGCCTTGCATGTCATGAAATAAACCTGATTTCTCTGAGTTATTTTCTGGACAAATAAAATTATAAAAGGAGGATGCATTTGTGTCTACATTTCTAGGCATACAGTAGACATTCTTTAAATGTCTAAATATTGGCTAATTTTCCTCTATTAATCACCCTCTATCCATTTCATTGTTTTTATATTCTGCTTTGTTTGGTCTTTTAAGACACAGCCTCACTATATAGCCAAGGCTGAGTTTAAACTTAAAATTCTGCTTTATCCTCCTAATTTCTGGTTTTGGCAATGATAGGCACTCATCACCACAGCCAGATTTCCAGGTTCTTTTTTAAAAAATGTTTTATTTAGATTGTTTATTATGTGTGTTTTATGTGTGTGTGTGTGTGTGTCTGTTTGTTTGTGTGTGAGTGTGTGTGTGTGCACATGAGTGCAGGTAACCATGGAGAGCAGAAGAAGGTGTTAAATTCTCTGCAGCTGAATTTACAGATAGTTGTGAGCCACCTGGCATGAGGGCTGGGAAATGAACTCATCTCCCCTGAGTAAGCACTCACTCCTAACCCCTTCAGCCCCTCCATATTCTTTGTACTGTTAAAACTGTACTCATCGATATGTAGTGTCATACTAGCTACACCAAAAAAGGCCACGTCTTAAGCCCTAATTGAGAGCCACTGGAATTCTCTCCTCATTCTAACCCAAAATTCATTTGATAATTTTTAAAATGAAATTTAAGTCAGCAACTAAATGGCAATTTAAAAAATCATTCTAACATAATATAATGCAAACATAGACCAATTTGATACTTATGCTGAAGAATGAAATTAGGAAATATGAAAGTTTGTTTTCTGTAGTTAAGCCATTACTTTTCTACAGGGGCAAAAAAAAACCTTTGCATGGACAATAAGAGACAATGTATGTCACAGCATTCAATAGTTTTAATTGTGAGCCAAGGCACCTCAGGCAGGACACATTGGCATGTTTTAGCATGATGCTTCAAACAGAGGAGGAGATATGTGTTCAGGATCAAGTCTGCAGTGACACTGAGATGTAACAATGGCAAGCACTGCTAGAAATGCCTTGGATTCATTGCATTTGACTTGAACTAAGTTTTTGTCATTGATTAGTCAGAGAAGCCTTTTTACTGTTGCCAAGATTTTCATGACCACAAAGATCCACAATTTGGTCAGGGTGGATAAGCTCACTCAGTGGACAAGGATACTCATGGGCATATCTGAAGCCCCATGGTGAAAGCAGAGAACTGACTGCTGTGGTGGCTATTCTTGGTTGTCAGCTTGACTACATCTGAAATGAACTAAAACACAAATGACTGCTGTGAGAGATGTTTTTTTCTTAATTAAAGCATTTGAAGTGGGAAGACCCACTTTTAATCCAGATCTTTGAGATGGGGAGATAATACATTTAATCTAGACCACATCCTCTGCTTGCTCTCAGTCTGGCTAGCAAGTCCATTCCTTCACTGGCATTACAGCTCACTTCTTCACGATTCCAGCATATACTGAAGACCAACTGAGACACACCCTCATGGACTGCACAACTACTGGATTCTTGGACCGTCTATTCGTGGGCAGCCATTGTTGGATTAACTGGACCACAGTTTGTATGCCATCTATGTGTATCCCTGGCTGTCCTGGAACTCTTTCTGTAGACCAGGCTGTCCTTGAATTCACAGAACTCCACCTGCCTCTGCCTCCCAAGTGCTCGAATTAAAGTGTGGGTCACCACTGCCTAGCACCATACTCTTTCTGTATTTAGAGAACTCCACTCTATAACTTCTGTTCTTCTAGAGAACCCAAACTAATAGAACTCCCATGAACATTTTCCTCTAACCTCCACACACAGGCTATTGCACAGGCATGCTTATACACATATAATAAATAAAAGCTACAATGCAATTTACCTTAAAAATCTGGCTCTAGAAAGAAGAATTGTGTAATATTAGTTTAAGATGTGTTACATTCATTTATGCTATGGAATATTGTTTAATGGTGTAAAGATATGTTGCATTCTTTTATGTTGCATTTGTTTAATTCTATAAAGCTGTGCTACTTTGCCTGTCTAAAATACCTGATTGGTCAAATAAAGAGCTGAATGGCCAATAGCAAGGTTGGAGAGTGATAGGCAGGGCTGGCAGGCACAGAGAATAAATATGAGGAGAAACTTAGAGAAAGAAGAGGGAGGAATGAGAAAAGGAGGAGAGAGGATGTCAGGGGCCTGCCATCCAGCCACCCAGCCAGCCATGGAGTAAGGAAGGAAGATATATAGAATAAAGAAAGGTAAAAAGCCCAGAGGCAAAACATAAAGAGAAACAGGATAATTTAAGTTAGAAAAACTGGCTAGACACAAGCCAAGCTAAGGCCAGGCATTCACTGGTAACAATAAGTCTCCATGTATTTATTTGGGAACTGGGTGGTGGGCCCCCAAAGAGTAAAATAAAAATAAAAAAACAAAGAATATCTCACTTTACATCTTTTTCCAGGAGGGACAGCTTGATGGAATCTGAGGATGGAATGCCTGCTCTTCCAGCTGCTGGTTTTCTGACTGCATGTTTGTCTCTGTGTTCTGAGATGAGCATGGCTTGAAGAATGGGGACCAAGACAAGTTTACCCACCGGCCCACAAGTGAGTAGTAAGAATGGTAAATGTGAGCCTTGAATTCAAATCCTTTGCCTTGAACACTATCTCAAAACTGCTAGGTTTTATTGTTGTCAAAGAAGTTAGGAGAAAGGTAAAGAAAATGAAAATGAAATAGCCTCTAAATCTGGAGGTTTATGCACAAGGACTGTAGCCAGGGGCTGAAGTAAAATCAATGGAGGCCCATACCAGGGATGACTGACTCTAGCTGCTTCAGCCTTGTCCCAGGTTCCTTGTCTTTTTAGGTGATATTGATATGCAATTCGGCAGCTAATAAATGATAGTAAAATATTCCATGTATGCGCAGTAATTGCTTCATTTTCTCCCTGTTTGCTGGTGTGGTGTATCAGTGATGGTGAGTGCTTTGTTTGGTTCATGAGTTTTGTCAGATATATCTTTTCCTCTCAGTTAGATTGTAGTATTATCGAAAGGCCCTCCTTTCTTCCTTCCTCCCTCTCTCTTTCTCTTTCTTCTTTTTTTTCTTCACTTTACTTCTTTCTCCTTCCTTTGCACATAATTTTGTATTGGCAAGGGGGAAAACTCTGCTGATGTTTGTGTTTTTGGACTGACTGGTAAATAACATTTAATTCCAGATTATATAATAATTTTAGCCTATTTGCAATCTATAGTTATGTATTATTAATGAGTTTCCAAGTTTAGGCAAGAATATATATGGATCACTTTTGCTTTCAGTTAAGAGATAGTAGCCTACATTTTTTCTTTTGCACTAATCTCAATGTCTTAAATTTGTTGTACTAAGAATGGTCTCTGGAGTTGTGGTGCTGGTTTGTAATTTGAGATTAGCCATTTTCTCAACCTTCCTCAGCCTTCTGACTATAGCAGGTAGAAACAGTCCAGAACTGGCAAAGTGCTGAGAGTGATGGTGGGTGGAGTGCTTAACCTAAATAGGATATCTGTGTCAACCACATCAAGTCCCAGGAACCATCTCAGGGGAGAAAAATGAAAGAGCCAGAGGATGGGGCTGTGGAGAAAAATGATGTATTCTGGATGTTACAGAGTGCTTGTACTCGTGAACTCACAACAACTATAGTTATCTGAAGAAGATCCACACAGACTAAGCCCTGTAAAGTTCTATCATAGGTGGAAGAAGACACCATGAAGCCCCATCCCTACCTGAAAGATGATTGGCAGTTAATGGCTCCTGGGATATGGGGGTGTCATTTTCTTCAGTAATGTAGTCATTGACAAATTGCCCATACTTTAATTAATAACCCCACCCATGCTCATATAAGCAACTCTTGGTCACATACAAAAGGAAATGGGAGGAAGAAATTTGACCCAGAAGAAGGGAGAGGACCAGGAGTCTAGGAGCCTGGGGTCTGTGCTAGGAGCACAGCAGGCCTCCCTTGAGTCCTCAACCCCTCCCTTGGGCTTGGTTGTCAGGTGGTGCAGGTCCCCGACTTTCCCCTGAATCCACTAATGTTGGCAGCTGCTTACTCTCCCACACCTCCACGTTCTCTCTATTCTGTTTTACAATGCTTTACTTGGGGTGGGGGTAGGGTGTCTTCTCCCAAACACACAAGGCTGTGTCTTCTAAGACTTGGACTTCGCAGAGAACCAGAAAAGCTTTTATATGGTACTGTGAAGTACCTGGGGCAGCAATTACAAAAGACATCCCCTGTTTGCTAAAACTGGAAGAAACAAAACAGGGAGCAGGGATTTGGTGAATTTCAATTGAAAAAAATCATTCTGTCCTTTAAAAAATACCTATTTATTTATTTATTTATTTATTTATTTTATGTGTATGGC